CATCACTCATGTTTCTTGTCTTTTAACAGCCCCCCAAAAAGGTGAGCTGTAGCTCACATTCATCAAAAGCTGTATTCCAATAAAATTACTTTCAAGAACATCTGTCATCTGTCTGTTGAAGGAAACGGCTCTCAGGTCACTTTGCTAACATCGGTGATGGGAGAAAAGACATAAAAGCAATTCCAGCTATTATCTTGTCATTGCCAATTCCAGTCTTGTTAACTTTTTTTTCTGGGTGTTTTTTTTCTTCATCGTCAAAATCCTCTTTGACTAATGTTCCAAAAGGATTTCTAAAGTCTGAAGGATGGGAGATAGTTCTCTTAAGCTTGTTGTAAATATTTATTTGCAGCATTTTCTTAAATCCTTTACTGGAAATAGATGAAAATGTTTATAGTTGGGCACAGAGAAGGCGCTCACTGAACTGAAGGACCTTTCAGTTAGTGTTTTTGAAGTGCAGTGCATGTGCAGTGCCTTATGTGAGTTATAAACGATGTTAGCTAAACATAGGAACACGCAGTCAAGGGCTTCCATGCAAGGGCATGCATTTTCTTTCCTGGAGTAGGACTGAAGTTGCTCCTGTCCCATTCCATGCAAACTAGGAAGGTGAAAAGAAATTAAGAGGCGAAAACTGTGCTTTCTTAAATGCAGCATTCAGGTGAGAAGCTGCAAGAACTAAAAAGAACACATTTTCTCTAAAAGTCAGTAACAAAGAAAAAGTGCTTCACGTGGTTTTGATCAGGTAGGACGGATTTTTGTTCCGTGAAAAGGGGTTACTGACTTACAGGCAAGTGATATTTCGGAGTCCTGGAGTATTACATGTCCCTTTAAATTTTTTTCTGCTTTCTTTTCTGCTTTTCTTCTCCTTCTTTTTTAGCAAGCTATTTCATACATATTTCATACAAGAATGACATTAAATGAGCCTTCCGGTTTCACGTTTCAGGAGCTTTCTTTCAAGGAGCTTCCCATTCATTTCTCTGTGGTGAGGCATTGACTTGAGGTATCTGACATATAGCAGTGATTAGGTTACAGTTTCAGAATGGCAGATTGTATCCTTTAGGTAATGCTGGAGAATAGGAACTGTGCATGCACCCTTGGTCAGGCATCCCAAGATAAGTCCTTTTTAAATGCTAAAAAGGATAAAGGCATTTAAAAATACTGTTTAACATATTTGCAGTGTTATCACTGTATCTACGTTTTCCTCAATATTCATGGGATTTCCTGTATGGAGAATGGGAAGTTCTGAAGTGAGTGCAACTGTCACGAGCAGCAACAAAAAAAGCCATTTTAAGGGTGTTTTATGTCACTCATGTATAGCTTCTAGCACAAAACGTGGAAATTGCAGCTTCCCTGGGAGAGCAACTTAAGACTGGGTTTTTAGTGTCTCAGAGGGTTTGTCGTTTGAGAAGGACAGGAGTTCCTCACCTAAGCTGCGATTTCTCTTGATGAAATTGCTGTGTTCTTAACTAGTAAGTAAAAAGTCAGGGACACAGCAAGAGAGGCTGGAAGAATGTTATACTTAATACAAATCATAGGTGAGAACCATCAGCTATTGCAGTTGTGACAAGCTACACAGGAAGCTCCCAGCCTTATAAAGTAAGATCTACTAGTTGTGCCTGTAGATCCACGCTGTCTACACTCCCATTCTCTCTCTCTTCTCCTCCCCATGACTTGTTCGCCTCCCATACCAACCTGTAACAATTAGCAAGACCATGCTAGAAACCAAGGAGAAAGAGGGGGGAAAGGCCGGTGGGGGGAGGGGGGGAAGAGAGGAGGGAGAAACTTCACAATGTTATTTTAGATAAAGGAAGATGGTTAAAAGTGTAATAATCCAAGCCCATAGCTGCCAAAAAATTGAAAGATCTGTTCCAGCTAGTCTTTGGTATTATCCAGGTGCTAAATTGAATGAACACTCACGTTATAAGCATTAGTAATATTATAAATTGTAATGAGACTTTGGGATTGTATCTCCCAGTTAGGCTAGAATTCAGGTAACCATTGCTATTCAAGGCATAATTAAAGCACTTCTTGAATCAGGGATTGCCCTGGGTAGGGATGCATAAAGCCTTTTCCTGTTCAGGTGCTTTGGGTAGATGTCTTGGTGGGTATTCTGTTTGGGGAGCAGGATATCTGGCAATATCTTTCCAGGTAATTGAGCAGTCACACTGAGAGATACGGATATGTTTTGCAAAAGCCTACAGTAAAGGATGTCTCCCGAGTTGTTGTTCTTTAGCAGCCATGCACAGCATACTACTCTTGTGTCTTGTTCTTTCAAACGTGACAGGAGATACAGCTGGTAGTCTAGAAACTATACGTTTCAGGAACTGGAAGAAAACAAAAACCAAAAGGGATCAGTCATACAAATAGAATGGTAATTCTCTGCAGTAAGATAAGTTTTAATAAAGTTTTTTGTTTAAGTTTTAGATAATCCACAGCTCTTCACAGTCTTAACAACAGTCAGCTCATTAATTTCATGTGTGTTATTTGACCTATAATATTGAATTAATGTGTTTTACCATTATTAATTAAACATTAGCTTGAGGAATGTCATTATTTTAAATAGAAACACTCCATCTCTGTCTCCCGTTATATAGCGATGAGTATACTGTTATAGATCATAGTCCTTCTGATATGAGAATCGTTTTACAGAGTTTTCAGAAATATCTCGGGATATGTTCATACTGTTAGGCCCAGCCTAAATAAAGTACAGCTTTCTCAGTTATGTAGCTAGGCCAGGTGCAGTATTTCCGTAACATAACTCTGTTGGTATCTCTGTATCTGGTATTTCATTTGATAATTTTTCTTTAGTATGCTTGGCTTAAAAGTGTGCTAATGAAATCTGATAAAAACGTAAAGCTAGGAGGAATTGCTAATACAGAAGAGCCTGGAATATTATTCCGATCTGCTAGACCATCCGTCTCTTCCTGGATAAAAGAAGTGAATTAATGTTAGTAATACCAAATAAAAGGTCATACTTCTAGGGACTAACGAGAATTTCAACTGCTGAACAAGGATTTATCCGACAACAACTCGAAGAAGAAAGATCTGGGTATAATAATTGCCCATGAGACGACTATAAAGCAACAAGCAGATATAGCTGTGTAAAAGATAAATATGATTTTAGGCTCTATAAGGTAAATTATTAAAATAGAGGATTATTCAATTATATTGCAAGGCATTAGAGAGGCCTTGATTGGAACAGTCACATTGATTGCATATTTGATGGAAAGAGATAGGTGTCTCGGGAAGATGGTTTGGAGCAGGATTTGTGAGCTTGAGGAGACTCAGCTTTGAAGTCTGATGTTGAAGTTAAAAGATTGAAGTTGTTTTGAGTGTATCCTCTGCAATGTATGTACTTAGTCCTTTGCCTTCAAGGGAGATGAATTAAGATACAGTAAATAGGGAGAGACTCTGCTGGGTGAGCAGAGGGGACACTAGCAGTTTGACATGTTTAGCCGAGTGGAGTGACACGGGAGAATGGATGTGCTGACTGTCAGTAAGCAGGAAACAGCTGCTAATGGTAAAGAATCCATAGGAAGAACATTACAAAAATTGTTATAAATTATTTGTAAAATAAATGGGATTGAAATAAGAAGGCAGGTTCTGCTTGTGTGCGAGATGAAATTTTTGAACAGCCTTAAAAAAATCTTACTAGTGACAACAGGTATACCATGCAAATAGAGCTGAATCAGTTTTTGGATCAGGTTAAATTAAATAACTGTGACGGTAGGCACCTTGTTGTGATGGGACAGGAGTTCATTTCCATTCCTAAATGCCTTTGACATCCATTTTTCATGAATCTGTGGATGTTCTCCATTGAACAGCTGCTTAGCATTCAAATTTCCTTTTTTTGCTGTGCACACTTCCTGGGTCATGTTCAATAAGGTCTGGGCTCTCTTTTCCCTGCCCACGAACTAAATCCTGCTTGTTGTCCTTGTCACTCCCTCTCCTGCTCCCAAAAACTGGAGAGAAATGATGATATGGTTGAAAATTGTTTATTAACACCAATGTTAAAAATATATGTGTATAATGTTATCATGTAGTTAGAATTAAACCTAGGCGGCAATCTTATGTTTCTGAGGGGAGTAAGAGCTTTTTCAACACAGCAGAGTTGTGACAATATTGTGATGTGAAATTTTAACAAAGGTTCCTGTTTGTTTTGGATTATCCTCAGCTGTTCACAGTATAACGGTGGTCAACTCATTAATTTTGTGTGTATCTGGCACATAATAATAAATTATATTTGTGCATATTTTAAGTGTTTAAGAGTTAAAGTTAGTAGAAATGACAATGATGTCTGTCGCTTGCACTCAATTTTACATAACCTTATGATAGTAAAGTACTTTGTTTCTCTTTACCTTGAGCCACCTCACCGTAGCTGAGAGTAATTAAAGTCCCTGACTTAAAGAGGGAAATTGCTGCTGCAAAGTCATGGCTGTTTGGCATATGTGTTTGCACAAAGTGCAGCCTTGGTTGCTGTAAGTCAGAATGAATTTCAGCAAAGAAGCTGAGAGTTGGATGGTCCTGGGAAGAGACTACGATACCCAGAGAGAAGCTGGAGAATCTTCCTGGTTGCCTGGAGTATGTTTCTCGACCTCGCTGCTGCCTGCATCCCCACCAAACTTAGGCAGCTTTATTTTAAAGTGTATGCTGAAATTGTTTTGATGTGTTAGAACAGCAGATTACTCTTCGTATTACTCTTCGTTTCTGTCTAAGAACCAATTAAAAATAGGTCAAAATGTAGAATCTTTTCCCAGTCTTGTTTTGGTGCATTTCTTTAATCAGAAATATTACTATTGTTTTAATTTTTTTTTTTTAACCTGTTGTTGCCTTTGGATGAGCATGAGAGGTACATAGTTACATCACAGCATAAGAGGGAAAGAAAGTTCTCTTCACTTTCATTCATTCAAACGATAACTTCTGAGGTCAGTTACCTCAAAAGCCGATTAATATATTACTGCTTTGTTGAATCGATACTAATGCGTTTTTCGTATAATTTGCAGGTTTTGACAACACTGGCTGCCAGCAGAACTGAGGTAGGAAATTCTGTCTTATACTGGTGGTATGCTTCTGTATTTTTGTTAAAATGATTCAAACTGCATTTTAAATAGCTGTCTGTTTTCATATGGGGGTTAGCTTTTTTTATGGACTTTGGCTGAAGAATTTAAGTGACTTGACTCGGGCGCTTGTGCTGCTTCTAGTATTTAATGAGCCAGTTTCTGGAGTTCTTTTATGGTTTCAATAACGATTAAGCTGATAAAGTCCTTCTAGAAAAGGTTTATCTTCAGGTAAGTCTTTCAGAAGATTTCCACAGCATTGAAACCACACGGTTTAGAGCTTGGTAAGCATGTGTTATGATTTCCCGTGACTCGTGACATATGTGATGTGAGCTATTTGAAAGCAATGGGGCAGGAGAGCGAAATTTTATTGTGTGACAGGATTCTACTAGCTGAATTTCTGCTAAATTCTGCAACAGCGTTGCTTGTATGTTGCCTGCATTGGATGCTTTACGTTGCTATAGTTTAAACCGATCTTTTTATATTCATATTTAATTTATCAACTTTTCTACTAATGGGACCGATTGAATTCTCTACTACTGTACTCCTTGAAGCAAAACTGCGTTGCATAGGATGTGTGGGTTCTCGATATCTTAAATTTGAATTAAAACATCTGTAATTTATTACGGTAGCTACTAATATTTTGAAAGAACACGTTGATTCACGGACCATATAGAGCATTCAGAGAAGTTCTGTTATAAGAAGATCTGTAATTGAATTTGAATGGGAGAGAGTTCCTAGCAAAATACTTTGTCATTCATGAGTTTATGAAAATGTTTTTCTTATTGCCTATGCCCATGCTACAGAATCAGTGTTTTGTTGATCTTCATTTCCGACGCTAAAGACACGTTCATAGAAATACTGGCGTGTCAGACTAAATACCAGTTTTTGGCCAAAGAATATGGAAGCCTCTACGAATTTGCCCGCTAGCGTTTTCAAGTGGTGCTTTTGTTCTCTTTGACTTGCATCCATGAGAGGCATTTGGTAGTGATTCTTCTGTAACAGACAGGCCGAAAGCAGGCTCTGATGCAAGTTATGAAAACTTTGTTGAATGAAATAATTACTGAAACCTGTTTAGCAGCCGTATTACAAGTACATGTTCATGTTCAGGTGCTTGCTCTCCAGTAATGCATTTAGTGGGTATTTTAGATGATGTTAATGTGCTTAACAATATTCTTAAGGGGGAAAATATTACAGTTATTGGAGTTTATTTTGGATAACTGATTGCTCTAAATTGAAAATAAATAGGAATCCTTTGTGACCACTACCTTCTGTGTTACACTGCATTTGTCTCTTTTCAGCATTGCTGTTGAATAACAGTCACTGCGCGTTTAGTAACTGACTGATATTTTTATTCTGTGCACAGTTACTGACTCATTTAAATGTAATGTCAATTGGAAACTCAGAGTGTTTCTATATGAAACGGTTCTCAGACTCACAGTAGGAAATTTATGATGTTCTCCAAAGCTAATGTTTTAACTATAACAAAATGTCTAGGTGACTCCAACTGCTGTAGTCAGATAAATTTTTAATATGAACCTTTGGTAAATTAAATTGCATTATTAAAGAGAATAGATAAAAACTGTGCTAGTTACTTTAAAGAACAAAGACACAGGTCCACTTGCATACTGTGAAAGAATGACATAATTTAATTCATTTATATTTAGATTAAGACTACCATATTCAGTGCTTAATCCTGCTGGTCTGATTCAGTTGCATACTTGATTCATCTGAAGGCGTCTCAGGGGTAGGATTTGGACCTATTTTTTCACTGCTTTAAATGCCTGTTTTTTTTATATCGCTAGGATGCGAGCGATGATAAATAGTCACATTCCGTTTCTTGTTCTGTATTTTGGATGGGAGCTAGGTTTGTTGCTCTGTTGGTACTACTGATAACTTTATTCCCTAAAAAGGATGTTTTTTTCATTTTTTTGGTAAATTATTGTCATATAACATGGATTTTTTTTTCTTTTGTGTGTATACAATTCCAGAAACATTACAAGTTTGAGCTGTTCAGTTGCGTTGATTCATTGGTCAGTACTTTCATCATTTAAAAATCTTAAGGGAGGTAACGCGTTGGGTTGTTCTTTGAAAATACTTTATCAACTGTCCTTTCTGTGCTTTAACCTGGGGACCAGCTGAGTTAGTGGGCACGAGCCTATACAAACTTATCATTGAACACTGTTTCCCATTCTTGAAAGTACTTGGAAGAAATCCCGAAGTTCATTCTTGTTCAAGAAACTGCTTATTTTGTCAAAAAGCATAATTAAGTGCTTTCCTGAATCAGGTCAATAGTGCTGGTTTTACATAGTCTTAATGCATTCAGTGGAATAACTCACAGGAATAATAACTAAAAAGAGTAATAAGTATACAGAATTTGGTGTTGAAAGCTTGAGTTAGAGACAATTTTCAACTTGAGGGAAACATCCCCCCTGACATAATTGCAAAATTCCCTGGATTTCTCCCTGGGAGCTTCATAGCAGCCTGCATACTGTGCATAAGATACTAGGGTTTTGGTATAATTTAATGAGGATGATGGGTCTTGGATATCTGTACGGATGACACACAGACATTTCGTGAAGTTTGAGAATAGCAATCTGCTTTTTTGCCTGGTTTTTATTTTATTTTAAATTCCTTGTTCTTCATGAAGAGCACTCAGGAAGATACCAAAGACACTAGTTGCATTTTGGCTTTCCTTTCTGTTATGTCTTAACTCATTTGAACTCCTCAGTTCTTCATTACTGGATAGTGCTTGTGTCACAGGATCTCAAGTCTGCTTTAAAAAAAAAAAAAAAGAAATGTTTGGTTTCAAATTTCGCTTTCTAAAATCTGTTGTTAGAACTATTTGCTTGTTCTTAAACTGTTGATCCAAATAGTCTTGAAGTTTGTTTATTCCCCTTTTATTCCTTAGTAGATGTAGCTGTGTTCCCTTACTGAATTTTATGTGAAGCCTGAACAAAAATATAGCATGTTTCTATTGCTATTGAACATTTTAAGAAGGTGCAAACAAGATTTTTTCCAAAGGCTGGTTGCCACATACCAACTGTAGAGAAACGATTGCATCTAGAAAAGGCTGTCCAGTAATCCAGAGACCTTTCTTCTGTATTTTAACACAAAGGGACAACAAATAGTGACAGTCAACACCGCAGGCAGTGAAGCCTTCCATGAATAAATGCCAAATCTGCCCACATTGTGTCTTTTAGTGTCCTAGCCTTATAAATATTCAAGTTACAAGAATCTTAGAAAAAAGAATACCTTGTGCAATTTCATCACAAATGACTAAGCTCTCTTGCACAATAAAACAGTTAATAGAGCATGATAATGTCATTACAAAGCAGGCCTCAGAATAGACTCAAATACAGCTATATGCTAGCTAAATAGCCATAACATACGTAGTACTTTACAGTGAAATTTCCACTTTAAGGAATGACTTCTTTCAAGTGTGCAAATTTTGACTCATTAACGTATATGGCACTCCAGTCCTCCTTTGTTAATTTTGAATATATGGTAGTCCATATATTCAAAAGATGCCTCATTCAGCGAACTGTGCGACTTTTCCAGACTGTTGCTCTTTCTAATTAGCTGTGCTGGTGTAGCTAATCTTTGTGCAAGTATGTTCTTATATTGAGTGAATTAAAAAATGTACACTTCCAATGTAATCAAAATAGGAGCACAATTAAGTTTAGTACTTGACTGATCATACTGATAAAGCAGTAGCAAAGACAAGTTTTGGGTGGTATTTAGAGGGGACGAGGTTGTTTATTTTGAAGAAAAAAACATGTGTTGGACTTTTTTTTGTAGGACTCCAGTTAACTTGATACGTGGACATTATCTTGTGACTTCAGAGCTCTTTGTACTCATTCAAAAAGGAAAGTCCCAGCAGATCTGGTGTGAATGTCAGTGGCCTTGAGTTTGTGTGCTGAAAATTTGTCTTTTTTGCTCACAACGATGAAAATTTGCACGTTTTGCGGAGTGCTGGTCCTTTCTGCCAGGGCTGTCTGCCTTTTGGATGGATTTCATAACTGTTCTCCTAGGACTAAATAAAATTTTCCTTAGAGGGAGTGTGCCCGCTCTTCTGATTTCTGTTGTTGCTCTGGTCACTCACGGATTATGCTTCTATCTCATAGTGTTGCCTCCAGATTTTCATGCTGTGGTCACTGCAGCTGTGTCTCTGAGATTTTTCCCGATACTGAATCCAACGGTGACAGCTAAGGATGTTTTGGTCAGTAGTTTTTTGAATCAGTGACTTCTAAATACTGCTAGCACAGAATTTGCTCAATTTCCTTTTTCCAGAAATCAAAACCGGAGTTCATGTCTTCTAATGTACAAAGCCTTTATGGTGGCTTTTTGCTTTTGTGTCAAAGAATCTGAATTCAGCACTTGTCTGTTTGTATCTCAGAAAAATCTAAAGGTTCTTCTGATGCTTATACTTTCTTACAATTCTTACAGATCAAATTGTTAAATGTGTACTACTTGCCATATTTGAAGTCCTATCCCTTGTTGTAATAGCAGTAGTTTTCTTGTGATGGCAGTAGATTTATGCCTTTCTTAAAACCGTTGAAGTTAGTGGTGCAAAGCTGGAGTGACATGGCAAAATAATCCCGTCTGTGCATGGGGGAAAGCACCATTTCTGAAACAAATGTCGTTACCCACAAAGAGAACAGAAAGGTGCTTATGCTTCCTTTTTCCTCCCTGCCGTTTGAGTGAACGATGCGGCAAAGTTCAAGGCCATCTTCTTGTGAGAAGTTAGAGGTCATGTCTAAATGGAAATGCAAGTTTAGTATAACTGTGCATTAGCTCTCTGGCTGCTTTTATGTGATTAATGTCAAGGCTGCCCTTTTTTACTCTCGTAAAGAAAAGGCTGCCAATACATCTCAATAAAACGGGAAATCAAAATCAGCTCAAAGCCAATGAGGTCATTAAATCAGAGTGTAAGGAAGACCTCAGAATAGTAAGCAGTAGAATATAGCTCTAAGGACAACA